ATCCAGAAAAATTACAGAATGTGGTACCACTATTTGAACTAATGGACGACTTTCAAAACCAACACAGGGAGAAGAAAACAGCACAAACATTATCGTTTTCTTAGATTTTTCTCTGCACAACTTATTTTAGAAGAGTCTTAACATTTTAAAAAGTAACAAAGCCTCACCGTTGCTTTATCATATACTCTTTTAAGAGCATAAGAATTGGGGCCAAGAAAGAAATAATCTAGAAATCAGTCACATGAAGAGAACATACTTTTGATTTCTTTTGAGCTTATACCCAGTGTTCATTTCACCAGTTTTACTGAGCCTAAATGTTCATATTGTATAAGGGGGCAATGCCCCTCCCCCCACCTCTCTCTTAATACAGCTTTAGAGAAAGCAAGAGACATTGATTTGTTGTTCCACTTACGCGTTCATTAGTTTCTTCTTGTGTGTGCCCTGACCAGAGATCAAACCCTCAACCTTGGCGTATCAGTATGATACTCTAAGCAATTGAGCTACCCAGCCAGGGCCTTTTCTTTTAATAAACTTTATTTTTAAGAACAGAGACATAGAAAGGAGTACAGTTCAGACTGACAAACCTCAGAGGTGAGGAGGGGTGGATGAGATAAACCAAAGAACTTATATGCACGTATGTATAACCAATGGACATAGACAACAAGGCTTGGTTGGGGGTGGGGTAGGATAGGGGGGAGAGTGGGGGGGGGAGGAGAAACATCTGTAACAAAAATAAATGAATTAAAACAAAAAAAACAAAACAGTTTTATTGTGAAAATAGTACAGTGTTTTCATATCCCTTGTACTGTTTCCCCTATTATTAACATCTTAACATTGGTATGATATATGTTATAATTAATGAACCAATATTGATACATTATTACTACCCAGAGTTCCTACTTTATTTAGATGTCCTTAGTTGTTACCTAACATTGTTTTTCTGTTTCAGATCCTATCCAGGATACTGCATTACATTTAGTCCTCATGTCTCCTTTTGACTGTAACAATCTGTTAGATTTTACTTGTTTTTGATGACTTGGACAGTTTTAAGGAATACCAGTCAGATATTTTATAGAATGCCCTTCAACTGCAGTGTGTCTGATATTTTTGTCATGAGGTTTATAAGTTTTGAGGAAGAACACATAAGTAAAAGTACTGTTTTCATTACCTCATATCAAGGGTACATACTGTAAGCATGACTTATCATTGTTTATGTTGACCTTGATGATCTGGCTGAGGTCATGTTTGTCAGATTTCTCCACTGTTAAGTTACTCGTTTTCCCCCTTTCTACACTACGTTCTTCTGGAGGAGTTCACTCTGCCCAGCCCTCACAGCTGCAGGCTCCTCCATGAGGGCAGCATGTCTACGTAAGCTGTTTGGCATTCTTCTGCATGGCTGATTTGTCTCATTTCCCTATTTGTTTATATAAGTATGGACTCATGGGTATTTATTTTATACTTTACATTATAATCCAGTATTATTTCATTTATTTAATTGTTCAAGTTGTCCCAGCTTTAGCCACTGGGAACTCTTTCACTTGGCTCCTGTGTCCCTCTGACAACTCCTGTTGTGGGTTTGTGTTCTTGGTAGTAGGAGATTTGGGGAACATTTCCTAACTCCCTGGCACTTCTGTGTGTTTCAGACTCATCTTGTACATTTCCTACCCCAATCCTAGAATCAACCATTTCTGTAAGAAGCCCTGGTTCCTTTTATTGGTAAATTAGAAACCAAGATCCTGACACTAGGTGTGCTTATTGCTACTGGGTGTTACTGTTTCTGAGCCATCTCAACAGACAGGTAGTGCCTTATTATCAGTCACCATATGGGTTCAGCACATAGTGCGTTGGCGTTAGAATGGGATGGAGTCAATAAACTTAACATGCAGTTCTTTGCAACTTTAGATACAGTTCTAGTTATATATAGACTGGGGGTAGGGGGGTAAGACAAGCAAGTGATTGTTCCAAACCAGAAGGATGATTGCTATAAGGATTCTAACCATGCGGTGTCTAAATTGATGCAACTTTTCTGGAGGACAGATTGGCAGAATAACTCGAAATCCAAAACACAGGGTTATGCTGGATCTTTGGAGGAATAGAGTGGTTATGGAAACCATCTCCTTTCCCTTAAGGATCACAGCTCTACTTTTCAGCTTTGTTTATAATATCAAAAGAAATAGAACAGCCTGAATATTCCAAAGTTGGAGATTTGTCATAGTAAATTATTGTATAGCTATGTGTCAAGTTACTGTGCATGAAAAATGCTGGAGTAGGATAATTGTCAAGTAACATGAAAAGATGTTTACAGTTAGTAAAGATTAATTTTTAAAGCAGTGTAAATCTATAAAAATAACTATGTAAAGTTAGGTATCTGCCTACCTAAGTTAGTTATTTCTGAGTTGTGCAATTTTTTCTTTTTTATGCCCCTCTCCCAGTGTTGTTATTATAAGGAAGCAAAAAAACACAACAAAACCCATTTTATTTAAAATAAGAAAACAAAGAGTTTTTTATACTAAGAAAACAAAAAGTTAGGTTTTTAAAATATATATACAATAATGCCCGGCTGGTGTGGCTCACTGGTTGAGCATCGACCCATGCACCAAGAGGTCGCCAGTTCAATTCCTGGTCAGGACACATGCCCAGGTTGTGGGCCCGATCTTTCGTGAGGCGTATGCAGGAGGTGGCCAATTGATGTTCTATCTCATCTCTCTTTCTCTCTCCCTCTCCCTCCTTCTTTCTCTCAAATCAATGAAGAAAAAAGTTATCTGCTTTCTGTAACTTATGATTTTGCCTATTCTAGAATTTCATATACATGGAATTATAGATAATAGTCTTTTGTGTCTGGCTTCTTAACTTAGAACGTTTTTGAGATCCATCCATGCTGTGTGTATCAATAGGTTTTTCCTTTTTGTTGCTAAGTACTATTCCACTATGTGGATATACCATCTTTTTAGTCCACTTACCCATTGGAACACATTTCTGTTGTTTCCAGTTTTGGTTGTTATTAATAAAGCTGCTATGAACATATGCGTTCAAATCTTTGCACGTATTCATATTTTCATTTCTCTTGGTTAAATACCTAGGAGTAGAATAATTCAGTTTTATGATAAGTGTATGTTTAACTTTAGAAGAAACTTCCAAATTGTTTTCAAAGTATTTGCACCATTTTACATTTCCACTCAGCAATGTTTGGGAAGAGTTCCAGTTGTTTCACACCCTTTGCCAGCACTTCATATCCTGGATCTTTTTAATTTTAGCATTTAGTGGGTGTGTAGTGAAATCTCATTGTGGTTTTAATTTACATTTCCCTGATGACTAATGATGCTCAATTTTTTTCTAGAGCTTATTTGCCATCTATATATCTTTTGTGGGGTATCTATTCAATCTTTTACCGTCATTTACCCCTTTTTAAAATGAGATTGTCTCCTTATTTTCTTTAAGAGTTATATTCTAGATACAACTTCATTATCAGATAGATTTTAAAGATATTTTGTTTTGGTCTTGGTTTACATTTTCATGTTTTTAACAGTGGCTTTTGTTTTGAATAGTAAATTTTTAAATTTTTGATGAAGTCCAGTTTATCATTTTTGTTTTGTGATTCATGACTCACAGGGACCTCTCTAGATAGCTCTGCAGCTCACTCTGTTCCACTTTTTCTCTTCAGTGTTCTGACCTACAAATTCTAGTTACCTTGCCCACCTGAATTCTCTCTCTTTTCTCAACTCAAGGGGACACTCTCCACCTCCAAATTTGTTTCTGTTCCCTCTCCATGTGCTGCAGCCTTGAAGCTGCCACAAGGCAATGGCTACTGTAGTCTTAGGTCTCATCTTGCATTTAGTCATTTTGTCAGAAATCGCCACAGTTCTTAGCTGCCTTAACTGTTGTTATATATGCCAATAAAGCTCCTTGGAAAGCAGTTTGGCAATATCTTTGAAGGTTTTAATAGTTTACTGGTTAAGAAAGAACATAAGTTTTAAAGTTAGTCATTTCAGATCACACAACTGCGAAGTATTTATGACCCTGGGAACACAGCCGAAAGGCTAGAGAAATTACTGGACAAGAGAGGAATATCACTTTCATTTTTCATCTTGAAACAGGAGTGTCAGGCTCTTGGATGGTGTCCTGAATCTGATGTAGTCTCTTCAAGGAGAATCAAGGCTTTTGTCTTGGCTATGAAGACAATGCATTGTTAAAATAGAAGGTTGTGTTTCTGTGCTCCAGTTCTTTAGCATGTGAGCAAATAAAATTTAACAAGAGGAATATATTAGAAATAGCTGCATGCTTGGTATGTTTTATGACTAGGATTGTTGACATTATTGACATTTGTTCAATTTTAGATAAGTCATGACAAAAGAGGAAACCATGTTTTTTGGGTTTTGTTTTTTTTTTTTAGCAAAAGCAAGGGATAATTTCTCATAGCCTGTTTGAATCCATTGGCATTTGGTGGACTAGCTTCATATTGAGCAGACTGTGTACATTTTTATGCCATTTGCCCCTAGGATAAGACCTAGTTAAGGGGCCTCTCTCTTCTTTTGAGAAACAGACACATGGGCTTCATGCCAAAGGATAAATTAAAGCAGCAATTTTTGTACCCATTTTTTTTTTAACAGGTGCACTTTACCTCCTTTTGAGATTAGATTTAGTATTTTCCTATGGGAAGTCTATTTTTATTAGCATATTTTACCTGTTACAATAGAAAAGTCACCAGCTGACTGAAAAGTCACTTTCTTGCAACAGGGATAGAGTATACATGAGGGATAGAGGGTGAATCAGGTTGTTTTTCTTCGATTTTTTTCCCTCCCTTAATATTAGCTTTTTATTTTTATTTTTATTTTGCTTGAGTAGTTGGTCCCTGAAGACATAGTAACTCTGGGCATTGTGTATGTGTATATGTGTACCTGCAGCATTTTAAAGCATGTAGATGAGAAGACCTTGTTGTATAAAACCAAACAAATAGGTACATGATTGACCACTAAGACTTCTCTTCCCTTATGTTTCCACAGGAGTCTCCCCAGGACAGTGCTATCACCCGGGATATTAACCGGACATTCCCAGCCCATGACTACTTTAAGGATACAGGAGGAGATGGACAAGATTCCTTGTATAAAATATGCAAGGTATTTCATGCCAAAAAAAAAAAAAAGGACTCAGTTTTGAATTGTTGATTTGGTTTTTTGAGATTAGGCAAGCGATAACTACAAAGTGGAATATGTGTTTGATGTTTAAGAATGAAAAAAAAGAGAGAGGGAAGACTTTGTGAAATCAAAGTAAGAAAGAATTTTAGACTATGATGAACAGGAATTAATTGGAAATAAATGGTAGAACTCCTTTTAATTAGGACTTTCAGATAACAGTCCCCTGGCTCCACATTTAGACTTTCAAAAATTGATTTTGTGAAACCAATTGGGTTCTGTAACATTGCAAGCTCCATTTCACAGTATAAATGAACTTGACACCTAGGACAAGTCTAACAGTAGGAAATGCTAATCCCCATCCAAGTGAATTTTAATACTGCAGCCTAATAAATAAATGCTGGGAAATACTGATGACTATCAAAAGGTCTGTACCTGCAAGTTACAAAGGAAATGATACACTGTTCAATTTCAGTAATTCCTTTTCTAGTAGATTTTGGTAACTTCAGAGTCAAAAGGAGAAGTTGGGACCAGAGTTCCTCAGCCTTTCTCTGTTCCTCTATCTTTTCCCCCCAAAGCTAATCAAGTATCTATTTAACATCTATGTATGAAGTACAGTCAAGGCACGAGATGTGTACTGAAGGAACTTATATATTATGATTGAAAAGGCAAAACTAACAACTAGATTTAGGACAGGCTAGCAATAAAGGATGATTCTCCAATCTAGGTGCTTTAAACTATAAGGGCAGTTACAATTTAGAAATGTTTCTTGGGTTTTATTTTAATTTCCCTATATGCACAAAGCTATGGTTTGGGTTGTAATCCTCTCTCATCATCTTTTCTTAGCCCTTCTCGGTTGTGCTTGCCACTTAAGCAGCCAATTCAGCTTCCTAGAAAGAAACCCTGTGCTCACTGCTTCTGACCCTGCTACCCTCTAGTTTCTACCTCATGATGATCTTTGCACAACTCTCTCTACTCTTGATTTCTCACCCTCCTGGTTGTGCTCTCACTTCTCTCACAACTCTGCTCACTCCCTTATTTCTTTCCTTCCACCTACTTCTGAAACAGAGGTCTTTCTCCTTAGACAGAGGTGCTCATTCAGTAGTTGCTGTGCTCTACACTGTCTCCCTGCTGAGCCCTTTCACCCCCCCCCCAAAAGCTTCAGCTGTCACCACTACACAGATGTTCCCAAATCTACATTATCTCAAGGCCTAAATTTCCATCTGCCAGTTGGTTGCCATGTAAAAGTCTGTCAAGTAAATCAAACAAAACAGATCTGAAAATAGAATTTTTTTATAAACATGTTTTGCACTCAGCCCTCAGTATCCATGGGTGTTGCAACTGCTGATTCAACCAATGGCAAATCAAAAATATTCAAAGATTTTTTTCAGAAAGTTCTAAAACCAAAATGAATCTGCAATGTCCCAAGCATTATGCTGAATCCAGGAGAAGGAAGTGATGTGTAGGCACACCCTGCTGTAGTCTATATGCAAATATTGCATCATTTTATATGAGGGACTTGTTCATCTGCAGATTTGATATCCACAGGGACCCTGGAACCAATCCCCTGTGGATACTGAGGGAAAACTATGTTATGAAAAAAAAATTTTTTTTTTTTACTTTTAGAGGGGAAGGGAAAGAGTGGGGGGCACATCCATGTGAGAGGGAAACATCAGTTGGCTGCCTCTTGCATGCCCCCTCCCAGGGATCCACAACCTGAACATGTGTCCTGACTAGAAATCTAACGGGCGCCCTTTGAGCGTACAGGATGATTCCCAACCAATTGAGCCACACTGTTCGGGATGAAAATTTTCAGGCACATATAAAAGTTGAATAGTGTAATTGTGTATGTCTCTCCACCTAGATTCAGTATTTGTCAACATATTGCTACAATTGCTTTATTAAAATTTTTCCTGAAGTAGTTTAAAGCAAATCTCAGACATCATGATTCTAAATTCTTCACTATACATCTCTAAAAAATAAGATTATTACCCATCTATAGCACCCATCGTTATCCATCAGTATCATCCAATAGCCACTCCTTATTCAGATTTCCCTAAATGCCTATAATTTGGTTAGAATCAGGATGCAGTAATATTCATATTATGTTGAGTGTTCTCTCTCTTTTAATGAAAAATAGTCTTCCTTTTCCCCACTGTGTGGATAGAATCACTTCCCTGCTTTCAGTCCCTCCCTTTGGCCCTGTTGAGTTTGTTACGATTGACGTGTCTTACAGCCATACTCCACTGTCTGTCCACTGCCCTGGTTTAGTTCTCTATCATATTGTGCCAGCACTTTTACAGGTGCCACCTTTCATTAGTCTCCCTGCCTGTGGATTCTAGCCTGTTTATTATCTTCTCTTTGTAGACTCCAGAATTGAATCATTTCAGTGGCCTCCACTGAAGCTTTTAATGCTTCCCCATAACACACAGAATGAAATAAAATAAGTTCTTAGTTTATTTTCTGGTTCTAGATTTCCTTAGCTTAGTATTAAAGGCATTTTATAACATATCCTGGTGTATTCCCTAAATATTTTGTTTCAACCATATTGAACTTCTCACTGTACTCTGGTTGATTTACTTGTCAAACTTCCCAACTGAACAGTGAAGTTCTCAAGGGCAGGAATCATTTCTTATATTATGTTACCATGTGTAGCACTTGGCACCATGCTTGGCATTAAATGTCGGATTAATGAATGCCTTTTCTTCTCCATATTTTTTATAGTCTCCACGAACCTTATGTTCCAAACATTTCCCAAATGTATCATGTACTTTCATGTGTGTAGGCATTCCTTCAAGCTTTTCCATGAACCTGAAGAATATGCTCTGCTCCATTCTCTATCTATAGACATACATTTTTAGCCTAGTGCATAATTGATTAATCCATGTGCTGAGTACATGGATGACTGAGAATAGCACATCAACTCTGATATAAATACTATGATTATTCTCATCTTACAAATAAAGAGTGTAAGTAATATGTTTAAGATCTAGACATAGACATTAGCTATTGTGGGATTTTAGCTCAACTCAAACTCTGAAGCCTGTGTTCTTTCTTGAATAATCAACTGTTGATTGATACCTTCACAAACACTAAGCTGTGTTTGCATCTATTACTACTAGTTTGTAACACAGTGTTAACACTTGTTAATTTGCACACATTTGAGTGGTACCTCATTGTATTATAAGCAGGTCATTTCTAAGCTCTGAGCACATCTTGTCTTTCAGGAAATGTATTTCTTATTCTGTAGCCCTCTCATCAGATAAGGTTTGATGAAATGGAGGCTATAATGGAATTATATTAAATTATATATAATGGAAGTTTATTTATATATAGTATTTATATATTTATACATATATAAAATATTGAATTACCTAAATTTATGAAAGTGTGATTATAATATGTAATTTAAAAGCTGGAGTTTCACCAAAATCTAATGATAAAACCTGTGTATATGTGGACTTAATTTTAATCTAATAAGCATTGGCATAATGTTTTGCTAAGTGATCTGAATTTTAAATATACCCAATTCTAAATTGCCTTCTTGGGACACAGAGGAACCTTAGCACACAAAATAAGTGGACAATGAAAGAGAGTTTCATTAGAAATAAATTTGTCAAATAGGAAATAGCATCTTGAATCTATAGGAATTCCCCTTTCCATCACAACTTACATGAGAGCTACAAATATTAATCACAAAAAATAAAAATCTGAAAAACAACTAAAGAACCAAAAAGCAAACCACAAAGAATGTTAGATGTCAATATTCTGTTAAAGATAATGTTTGGAGAGATGGGTAGTGATCCTCCGCTGCCAAGAAAAATACAAAATCAGAATCCCAGAGTAGTCCCTCTTATCAGAAAAGTTATTACTGGCATTGCAGAGAGAATTGTATTTTGGTATCTTTGCCAAAACACTTTTTCCCAGCATGAAGATGAGTAACATTAACAGTGTTTAGTGAGTGCCTACTATGTGTGAGGAGCTGGCTAGGTTGACTAGGACATCAACCCAGTCCCTGAAAAGCTCACAGTCATGAGAGGGTGGACATTTAAAATGCAGTGAGCCCTGGCCAGTTTGGCTCAGCGATTAGAGCGTTGGCCTGCGGTCCGGGGAGACCCGGGTTCCGTTTCCGCTAAGGGCACGTACCTTGGTTGCAGTTTGTCCCCGGCCCTGGTTGGTCGTGCGGGTGGCAGCCACTCGATGTGTCCCTTTCACATCGATGTTTCTCTCTCTCTCTCTCTCTCTTCCTCTCTCTCCTCCCACTCTATCTGAACAAAAAAATGGAAAAATGTCCTCAGGTGAGGATTAAAGAAAAAAAATGCAGTGAGGTAGGTGCTCCAACAACCATACATGTGTAGCAGGTACTATAGAAGTACAGAGAAGAGAGGGAATTCTGGGGGAGTGGAATATGTTTGGAGCCTGAAGGAAGAGCATATTTTTCAAATAGAGGGAAAAGCATGAGCAACAACAAGGAGTTATGACAACCTTTTTTTTAGTGTTGAAGTGGTGTTTGCTTAACCTTCCCTGCTCCTTGGCAACAGAAGGTGGCATGGTGACAGTTTTATTTATTGTTGAGTAAAAAAAATGGTATTGGAGAGAAATGTTTGCATTATTTATTGACCATCAAAATGCCACAGTGGAATGTGAGTAGCATCTTCCAGGTTCCTGTTTTCAAAGTTCTATAGGTCAGCTGTGGCCCACGAGTGACTATGTTCATTTACACCTCCTGTATTGTTGTTTTCAGGCTTATTCTGTGTATGATGAAGAGATTGGCTATTGCCAGGGCCAGTCATTTCTTGCTGCCGTTCTGCTCCTCCATGTGAGTAAATGAGTCTCTGTTATTGCTTAGACATGGCCTGCTTCAGCTTATACTAGCCTTAGACTTGAGCATGGTCTTAGATTGGCTTTGGCCAGACTCTAGGACATGAGTTTTAACTCCTATATGTGGAAACCTTTTTCTCATTTACCGTCATTGTGGAAGAGAAACGTGAGAATAAGTGAAACTGTTGAAAACTGGTACAAGGGTAGACTTCATTTTTATTGCTGGGATGATTGGGTAGACTTTAGTCTTAGTTGGACCCTTGGGGACATTTTATCCTCTCTAAAGTAGTCACATCATTAGTAATTTGTTTTGGGATTCATGTATTGGGGTGGGAGGTCAAAAGGTTGATTTTCCTTAGTGCCATTTTTTCCATTCACCCTCCAACTTACTGATATTTTTTTCAGATCAAAAGCAAAATGGAAAAAAAGTCTTAAGGTGAACACCTTATACTCCACCTAATTTACCAATTAATATTGTTTCATACTGTTTTCTCTATCCCTCCCTCTGCATTTTCTCTTTTACACACACACTTTATTTTTTTATCAAAAAAAATGTTTTGGGAAAATCAGGAGCAAACATCAACATACTTCACTCCTAAATACTTGAGTATGTATATCCTAAGGACATAATCATAATATCCAAGAAATTCCACACAGATTCAGTATTGGCTTGCACACAATTCACATGTAGTTTTCCCCATTGTTTACTCAGTAAAGTCCTTTATAGGTTTATTTTCTAATCCAAAATCAAACTACCGCTTGCCCCCCCCCCTTTTTTTTTTTTGGCGTATTTCATACCACTGACAATTTTGCAACGTTTTAGCAAATTATCTTTTAAAAATTTCCCCATTCTTGATTTGTCTGATCATTTCCTAATGACTCAAGTTAAAATGTTTTGCAAAAATACACAGTTCATGTTAACTGAGAGTTTTTGAGCACCTGTTACGGTCTGTGCTGTGCTAGAGATCACGAGAGAAGAATGTAGACATGGTCCCAATTCTTGTGGATACAGTTAGTGAAGCCGACCACCTATAAGCAAAAAGTCACACAAGTATATCATTGTTGATTTCAATGGTGCTGTGAAGACAGTAAAAAGTTTGATGCAAGATTATAACAAGGGAGCCACATTTAGATTCCAAGCTCCTCTGGGGAGGTAACCTTTAAGGTGAACCCTGAAAAATGAGAAGGGTTCTCATTTAACTTTTTTAACATTGTTATGAAAATAATAAAAGTATTTTAAAAGCAAGAGAGTAGAGAATAGAACATTCCCAGAAAAGGAAATAGTATGATATATAGAAGCACTGAAATTGGGGGAACTTGGCATATGGAAGGAGCTGAAGAAAGGACGGTAGGACTGGAGCATCACGAGTGATGAGGAGAGGAGAGGAGAGGGAGCTGGAGAGGTGACAAGACCTGCCTCGTAGGTCCGTGGAGGCCTGGCCGAGAGGGCTGGATTTTGTTACTCTAAGCCATGTTATGTTGTAATACAAGTAAAACAAAAACCATTTTCTGTCTTGTAACTGAACCTAGCTTGTTGGTGTTGAGAGGCATGTAGAAATATAAAGCTGTGACATTAATAAAGAAGTCAAGCCCTGGCCGGTTTGGCTCAGCGGTTAGAGCATCAGCCTGTGGTCCCAAGAGACCCGGGTTCGGTTCCCGCTAAGGGCATGTACCTCCGTTGCAGTTTGTCCCCGGCCCTGGCTGGTCGTGCGGGTAGCAGCCACTCGATGTGTCCCTTTCATGTCGATGTTTCTCTCTCTCTCTCTCTTCCTTTCTCTCCCTCCCACTCTACCTGAACAAAAAAATAGAAAAAATGTCCTCGGGTGAGGATAAAAAATAAAAAAAAAAAGTCAAGTATATGTAAATAATGTGATGATTTGATATACATATGCATTGTGAAATGCTCACACAATCAAGCTAATTAACACATCCATCATCAGGTAAAGTTTTTAAATTTTGTTTTGTTGTTTTAGGCAGACTTCCTATCTCCAAGTCTCACAAACCTATGTGGTTTGTCTTTGTTCTCAATTTCAGTCCAAGGACATTTATCCCCATACAAGAATCACAACCCCTCTACTTTTTTTTTTTTTTTTTTTATCCTCACCCGAGGACATTTTTCCACTTTTTTTTTTGTTCAGGTAGAGTGGGAGGGAGGGAGAGGAACAGAGAGAGAGAGAAACATCGATATGAAAGGAACACATCGAGTGGCTGCCACCCGCACAACCGACCAAGGCTGGGGACAAACTGCAACCAAGGTACGCGCCCTTAGCGGGAACCGAACCCGGGTCTCTCAGGACCGCAGGCCGACGCTCTAACCGCTGAGCCAAACCAGCCAGGGCCACAACCCCTCTAAAATAGATTTTCTGATAAAATCCACAGTGTCTTTGTTTGAATTCTGTGCTGCTTGCCATTTTGTTAGATGATTTGTCAGCGTAGGGCAGGTGTTCCTCCTCACAGAAAGGCTGCTTGGGGTCAGACCATGTCTCCCTCAGCATGTGGAAGAGTGAAGTTGTTTTTCTTGACAAAGACCCCAAAGGTCTGGTCCTTTGTCCCCAAATCCTTAACGTCCAATAATAATATGCTGTATTCTCAGTTAGTACTTAATATGACTTGTTCTTTAGCTCTGTTTTATTCCAGTGATTTCTGTGCTCAGCCCACCTCCATCGTCTTGTTCCACAGAAGCCCGCCCACCTTCTTGACATTTTGAAGGCTTGCTACTGACACACCAAGCCTTAAATAACATTTCCAGTGCTTTTTTTCTATTTTGAAAACTAGATATTTTACCAGGTTTTCAGGGAAATATTTTTCTATAAAGCTATGGAAGATGTAGGTATTGTTATAAATAGGTAACATCTGTAAATAGAAGGAGGGTTTTGGTAGTATTTTAAGTATTACTGTGAGTGATAACTGTAGTACTTTAAACATTACTGCAAGCCTTAGAATATGTAAGATTTCTCTAGCCATCTTTTTAACAATAGTAAGGGAAAAAAACAAAACAAAACATTTTTACTAGAATGAAGTGGCGGCTAAGGAGGTAAAATTATTTACAAGATCTCATGATTTAGGAAAGATGAAACCTACACTTGTGTACTGGCCTGTCCTGTCCTCCCTGCAGAGCCTGTCTCTGTCTCCCCCTGGCAAACTCGGGCTCTCCTGTTCCTGTGTTCTCCATCTTTCTGCCTAATTCATCTTAGAGTTATTGTATCTGGTTGTATGGGAGGCTCCTCAAAGACAGGAACAGTGTCTGGTACAGAGTAGGCACCATTGGTTGAGCCCTGGCCAGTGTAGCTCAGTTGGTTGGAGCGTCATTCCGTATACCACAGGGTGGCAGGTTCAGTTTCCAGTCAGGGCACATACCTAGCTTTTGGGTTCAATCTTTGGTTGGGGTGTGTGCGGGAGGCAACCGATTGATGTTTCTCTCTTCCCCTCTTTGTCTCAAATCAATTTTTAAAAAATACTTAAATATTTTCTGGTTGAGTGAATGAATGTTATGAAGTACTGAGTTACTGCTTACCACTAAATTTCATAGTATCCTGATAAGAGAGGAGAAGGATGAATTTAATATACTGAGAAAACTTCTGTATGTTTTGTGATCCTCACACCCCCCCCCCCCATTCCCTGTCTGTTACAGATGCCTGAAGAACAGGCATTCAGTGTTCTGGTCAAGATCATGTTTGACTATGGTCTCAGGGAGCTTTTCAAGCAAAACTTTGAAGATTTGCATTGCAAATTTTACCAGTTGGAGCGCCTCATGCAGGTATAAAAAGAAACCCTCTTGCATTTGCAGTTAGAGTGTAGTCTGGGGAGAAGGGGTTGAAGTGGTGCCAAGGAGCAGTGTATTCCTTAGACATCAGGGTTTAGGATGGGTTTTTGTTTGTTTCCATTTCTCCTCATGTGATGATGATACCAAGGTTAATTAGGTGTGAGCCTGCGGGGTGTGAGCTGGGTTTTCAGTCTCATAAAACACTCAAAATATCAGATGACTTTGCAGGGGCAAGAAATATTTACCAGGGCTCTGAAGCTGACTGGTTAGGAATCTCTTAACAAAAGTGAAACAGACTTTCCCAAACATTTCATAACTTGTAAGGAAAAACTTCCTTTCCAAATATTTGTCACCATTTGGGGATTCCTCTGTAGAGCTAGTTTGTGGACTGGAAAAGGAAGCTGAGTGCCAGTTTTAATACCAGATGATACATGTTCTTCTGAGCACTTGGAGGTTTTTAGAAATACACAAGTATATGACTTTTTTGGCCTATTCCTGTTAGATTTATGAGCCTCCTGAATGGGAGCTGAATAGCTGTATATGTGCCTAAAACTAATTAGTTTGCTATTTCAGGAATACATTCCTGACCTGTACAACCACTTCTTGGATATAAGCCTTGAAGCTCACATGTACGCCTCCCAGTGGTTTCTCACACTTTTCACTGCAAAGTTCCCTCTCTACATGGTCTTCCACATCATCGACCTGCTGTTGTGTGAGGTATGTATCAGAAGCCACAGCACTTGGGATTGTTGCAGTGTCCTTCTGTGACAGCTGTCAAAACAACTTGTTCTGCTCAGATGTTTTATTTCAGGGCTAGGAAATCCAAGTTTAAGTGCTTCTTCCTTGGGCTGCAGCTAACAACCACATTTTGTTAAAGGCACTCTCTTCTTTAAAAAGAAAACATAAAAGCATACATTAGACATTTATATTAGTTAGTATTAGGTTTAGCTTAATTTTTGAAGAAATCCAAAACAACAACAGTTAAATAAAGCAGAGGTTTATTTTTCATGTAAAAGAAATCAGGTTGCCTTCCCTAGAGTATGATTCATCCTTACGGCTGAGTAGAGCTTGAGCTACCACATCTGGGAGGGTTAGAGGACAGGAGCAGGTGCACACGTTCTTTTTAAAAGAGACTTCCTGGAAGTTCCACCTGCATGTCACTTACCTCTTATTGGTAAGTGGAAATGAACTTAGGTACATGACCACACCTAACTGCAAGAGAAGCTGTTTTTTGTGTTGTTTTTTTTTAATCCTCACTCGAGGACATTTTTCCTTTTTTTTGTTCAGGTAGAGTGGGAGGGGGAGAGAGAGAGAGAGAGAGAAACATTGATGTGAAAGGGACACATCGAGTGGTTGCCACCCGCACAACCCAACCAGGGCTGAGGAAAATTGCAACCGAGGTACATGCCCTTAGCAGGAATCGAACCCGGGTCTCTCTGGACTGCAGGCTGATGCTCTAACCGCTGAACAAAACCGGCCAGGGCAGAAGCTGTTTTTTTAAGCTTAGTAGGAATTTGCTAAAAATTGCGGGGGGTGTCTGTTGCTAAAAGAAAGTAGACATTAGAGTAAATAACCGTCTTTGCCACAGTATAGTTTTGGGGTATGTGTGTATTTAAGAAGAAAGTAACTAATTTCAAAAATAATATGTTTATTATAGAAAATGTAAGCCAAAAGATTCAAAGATTCTTATCTCCCTAGAGGGTAACTGTTTTTTAACATTTTGTTATATATTCTTTCAGCCTTTTTTTGCATTTATATATGTGCATGTATAATTTCTATATGGAATAATTGTTTTCTCATATGGAATATTATGTAATATATATTATGGGCCTGAATATATTTAAAAATATGATTATGCTATATATACTCTTTGGTAACCCCTTTTTTCATTTTATATACTTGAACATCTCTAGACACACACAAATATATACCATCTTCTTTTTATTTAATCTTACCATATGCAAAACATATGAAAATCCATTAAAAAATTTGTACTTTCTACCCAGCTTGAAACATTATATAAGAAATTACATTACTAATTACACCATTATTCTTACTTGCTGCCACGTATCCCATATTTGGATACACCATATTTTATGTAACCAATTCCTAATCTCAAACCTTTGAGTTGTCTAGTTTTCACTATTATAATCAACCAGTTATTAAGTAGCGAGGGGCCCAGTGGCATGCTAAATAATTTAAATAAACTTTTCAAACTAATTAGTTCAATTAGTTCAGAAAACCCTTGAGAGAATATTAGTTATGGACATTGAGATCCAGAAACTTAAATAGTTTAACTTGATGAGCGGATGTTAATGCCCCCCTCTTACTAGTGCCTCCCCACACGCATACACACCCTGCTGGTGGGATGAAGGCAGGCAGGTTGGTGGGAGCCCTGTGCGGAGTCAGCTTGGGATACAGGGCTCCCAGCAGTCGCTGTTCCTCAAGTGGGGCCACACAGAATCAAGTTCCACCAGGAGTTACTTCCTGATTATCATTTTGGGAGTCTAACGTTTTGGTTTGGAAGTATGGGAAGTGTTCTTACTGGATGTGAGAATAGGGCTAGAAAAGCTCTTTTCTCACAGGAAGGGGAGACTGGGTCTACTTTAAGTGGTGTGTCAGTGGTCGCTCTGTAGTTTTTACTTTCCACAAGGTGTTTTCAAGATATTCCATTTCTTAATTAATGTTTTACAGTTACTCTAAAATTGTGAGGTATTCTGAAGACAAATGGCTTCATAGTTCAGATGTATACACTGAAAATGTTCTTTTTTGTTTTCTTCTGTAGGGAATAAGTGTTATTTTTAATGTCGCCCTTGGATTATTAAAGGTAGGCCATTTATTCATAACCCGAGTTATCTGGCTTCTCTGTTTAGCACTTGCAGTGGCTTGGTCTGTGTCTCGTTCTGAGCAGCCTGTGTGCTCTGACGTGTCCCTGGCAGTGGGGGTGTGCAGGTGGCTCTGGCAGGGCTGAGGAGTGGCTTCTGGGGATTATGAAGTTGCTGGGATTATAGAATCCTTCCTGTGCATCTTCAATACAAAGAGCCTTTTCTCTACATGTTATATCTTATTTCTTTCCAGACATCCAAGGATGACTTGCTGTTGACAGACTTTGAAGGCGCCTTGAAGTTTTTCAGGGTCCAGCTTCCTAAGAGATACCGCTCAGAAGAGAATGCAAAGAAGCTCATGGAGTTAGCTTGCAACATGAAGGTAAAATCGTTTTTGCATTAATTTAGATTTTTGTTATTGTTCAGTCCATGTCTCACTATTCCTGACCAAACCATTAGTATTTATAATACATTAAAATAATAATGTTTTCTTTTTGTATCGTATATTTTTTACAGATTTTTTTTTTACAGATTTTCTCCTCATTTTGGAGAATTCTTTATTTAACTTATATAATACAATATAGATAAAATAAAGTTCTTCTCAGTTAACATAATTAAGAATAACAACTTTCCCCACATCAAAAATAAAAAATAAAACCACAAACAAATATCAGAAATGCCAGGTGTGCACTGTATATCAGTTAGATGTTATAATGGATATTTTTTGACATTTTGCCCTTCCTTCACAGTCTAGACCTAAAATGATGGCTTCCATAGAATCCTAAATTAGATACTTCTGTTTTCCCCAGCTTTGAGATGTAATTAATATATAATGTTGTGTAAATTTAAGGTGTAAGTGTGATGATCTGATACATGTATATATTTCAAAATGTTTACCATGGTAGGATTAGTGAACACATCCTTCATCTCACAAAATTACTATTCTGCGTTGTGATGGTAAGAACATTGAAGTTCTGCTTGTAGCAGCTTTGAAGGACATAGTCCAGTCTTGTTAACTATAGCCACCGTACTCTCCCTGAGGTTCCTGGAGAGTCTGTACCCTTTGACCAATATTTCTCCATTTCCTTGCTCCTCAGCCTTCCAAATAGTTTCATCTGTGCTATTTCCTGTGCATTAAATCTTATTGCTTCCCCCAGCCCTTCAACTCTAGGAAAGGTATTATTTCCATTTTAAGACCAAGCAAAGCAAAAAGAGGTTGTAGCCCCCTAGAATAGCTAGTCAGTGGCAGAACACAGGTTTCATGGTTTCTACTGTGCTGTTCTTTAACTTTCATTATTTATTGTTGTGGTCAGAAATTTCCTAATATGAAATTAATAATACATGGAGGAAACTCCCTCAGTTTTTTTCACTTCCAGTGGCATTTATGATTTGTATAATTTTTTAAGGTAAAAAAATATATAGGGTTTTCTGTGTCCACATAATGAAATTTAGTTTTTAAAAAAGAAGTAAAAGTAATTGGAGGAATTTAGTTTGGGATTTTCAGCTAGAGTCAAATGGGGGACAGAATAAATAGTTGTATTCAGAATCTTTAGGGTGCGTAAAAGACTATCGTGTTTACTTTATGTGACTCCATAGAGTAAAACTGGAATTAGTGTGTTGGCACAGATGTGGGTGAGAAGCTTCACTGTCTACTGAATAGGGCACAGACTAGGCATTAGGAAGATCTGAATTCAGAGCTGTTCAGTTTTTTGAGGGGCAATCTTCTCATCTGTTCGGTAACATTGGACTCTGGTTCTGGTTATATGTCACACTAAGCTAACACAGGCTACCCTTCTTTAGATACTTAGAGATGCAAAATACAATATGAACCAAGAAATGTTAAATACCTGGGTGAACTTGAAAGGAAAAAAGAGAAATGCCCAGGTACTTAAAGCAAAGTAGCTTGAACCCAGTGTGTGTGAACTGATAAAACGGCATCCTGTGGGAATGTGGAGGCAGAGGTAGGTATTTAATGCTCACACAGACACATGATATGCCTCAGCCCTCAGCAGGCAGCTGAAACTGAAACCTCTGCATACAGTTAGCACCTTGGAGCTGCTGCTGTGTTTTTGAAAGGGAGATTAAAATTACCTATTAGCCCAAGAACAACAGAAATCGTAACATAAAATTATTGGGGTGTTTAAAAAGAAAAGGAAGTAGAACTTCTAGAAATTAAGATAATCATTAAAGTTATCATTCAGATTAAATTTGTGATATATTTCACAAGTATTATGGATAACGTTAAATGATGTTTTACCATGTGCCTGGTCGTGGTTCAGTGCTTTTCTGTATGAGGATTGACTGTAGCATTTGTACATTGCTTATTTGCCACACTGGCTGGTAACTAGTAAGGGTTCAAGAAATGGTGGTCACTACTATGATTGCTTCCTCTCTGGTTTTGAAGCAGATATAAAACACTTTTCAGTGACATTTTCGTGGATGCCAGGTTTGTGCACAGAGCAGAGAACCAAGTGAGCCCTGAGGTTCTTTCTCTGAGTCTGTTTCCATCTCAGTCTGGTTCAGCACACAAGAGGATCTGCCTCCTACTTGTGATTTCTTCCCCCCAAAGCCTGCCTCTTACTCAGTGTTCCATCTCAGTTCATGTACCTGGCTGGTTGCTCAAGCCAAAAAGCTTTCTGTCATCCTGGACTTCTCTTTCTCTTCATACTCCACATCCAAACCTATCATCACAATATATCCCGAATCTGGTAAATTCCTGCTTACTTCATCACTAACACCCTAGTCTGACCATCACCATCACTTTTCTCCTGGAATATTCCAGTAGACTGCTTGGTCTTCCCGTTTCCACAGTGGTTTCTTCCCAGGCTGTTCTTGATCCCATCTCTCCCTTGCTTAAAACTCTAATGGCTTCTTAGAATAAAACTTGAGTTTTAGCCTAAGCCTGCAAGTCCTGGCACCATCTGACCTTTTGGTGATCTCTCTGATTTCATCTCCTATTTTCTCCCCCTTACTCTTTTCACTTCAGACACACTGGCCTCTTTACCACTCCGAAAGAGGCCAAAATGTTCACTCCTCAGGCCTTTGCCCTGGCTGGTCTTTGCCTGTAATGTTCTCCTCGGTGCCTGTCTGGCTTCACTGTTGCCTCATTCAGTCTTGGACTCAAATATCATGCCATCAGAGAGGCCTTCTCTCATTACGAGTTTGAAGTAGCAGCTCCCCCAACCTTATCTCCTTACCCTATCTTATTTTCTGCTTATAACTGCTTCACATTATTTTATTTGTTTGTTTATTAATTCCCCTTTCACACTAGAATTAAGCATGTGACCAAGGAGACAAGACTTTTATTTATTTCTGAATCCCCAGCACAAGAACAGGATCTGGCGTGTAAATATCATTTGAATGAGTGAACAAATGAATATGCTGTTGAGTCTCGACCAAGTGGTTTACAAACAAGAGTTAACATGGATTTGGGCAAGGCTTAAAAAGTAGCTTCCAGCCAAAGATTTTACCTTTTGGGTTTTCATTAACTTGAAACACTTTAATAATATATCGATCCTTTATTTCCATAGTTCAGATGAGCGGTGTCTGATGTCTTCTTTTTCTTGCCTGTACTTTCAAGGAATTAGAGTAGACAAGGCTGCACAGCACACGCATTTTGTGCTTAGGTGCGTATTCCTTCTGGCCCTGGAGAACTCTGCATGGCCCAGGTGTACTTTGGAGGATATCCCTCCTTGCACATGGTTTCGGGGTGAGAAAGAGTAATTTTTTTAAGTTGATTCACAGCTTGGAAAGCTTTACAGATTCACCAGGATATGAGAGAATGAGATTTTTCTGCTAAAATGTGGGATTTGGTGTGTACAGTTTAGTTAGTGATGATTAGTTGTGCTCTGGCAACTATACTTAATATTAGCCAATATTAAGGGAAATATAGGCAACAGTTAAGCCAATTATTGGCAAAGAACCTCAGTCACAGTATAACTTGCCAGCTCAAAATAAGAAAATCCTTGGCAAGCCTGTATGCATCATGTAGGCTGCATGCGGTTAGGGGTGCCTGTCAGCAGAGGGCATGCGTGTGATCACCTCGCGGTGCAAAGCCCCTCTAGACACAGAAATCTGGGTTCCTGCTATGGAATGGTTTGGAAAGTAGTTTTTAAATTTTTTAGTGTAGAATTTAGAAAGGAAACATTGACTCTGACTCATTGAAATTTCATTCCATTATTTTTTTAATAATTGTGGGTTGGTTTTCAAAGTTGTAGTTCCTGATTAAGGTATGAATTAGGAATTATTTTACCAGTCCAGGAAACAGGTACCTATTTTTCTTGTCGTTGTTGTGTTTTAACATTTATAATGTTGTAATTTCTGGTATTTGTATAGTTTCCAGAAATATATCTTCCTCACGATTCCCTTTGAGGTACGGAGGGCAAATCAAGTGTGGAAACTGAGGCTTATAGAAGTCTAGTAACTTACACAACTGGTACTGGCTGGGCACTGACGAACCCTGGTGGAACTCAGGCCTTCAGACTACATTCCCAGTGCTTTCCACTCCATTGCACTTGCCTCTTCTCATTGCAGTTACCTCCTTTGTTGTTTCTTGTGGCAATACCTAAATAGGCCACTAGATGGGGGTGTTACTCAAAAAAGGCCTGTGTTCTTCCCTGTACCTGTGTGTCCCTTTTCTCTAAGTCTTTCTCTGTGTCTGTCTTTACTTTCCTCTCTTTTTTCCCCCTGTATTTATTTTTAGAGGGAGAGAGAGAGATAGAAACATCAGTGAGAGAGAACATCGATTGGCCGCCTTCTGCATGCCCCCCACTGGGGATTGGGCCCACAACCTGGGCATATGCCCTGACTGGGAATCAAACAGGTGAACTCTTGGTGAATGGGTCAACACTCAACCGCTGAGCCACACCGGCAGGGCTACTTTCCTCTCTTTTTCACCCTTTTACATCTCCCATTTTCTCTCCTTCTCCTTAGTTTATTATGGGACTGACATTTATTTTTTGAGGAGTTTTCGATCTCCTGCTCTTAATCTAACATTTAACAACGTACATCAGAACTCATTTAGCTATACATTGACTTTCTCTTTTCTTATGGGTCAGTGTCCCAAAATAGAAAAATTGTTTCCACTTCTGGAAGGAATTTTATTTTTAAAGATTGTTCCAGGAATTCATGAATGGCCCTAGTAGCTCCATAGCCCTTTCACACTCATAACTGTACTATGCATTGTTTGGGTGAGGGGAGATGGGAATAAAACTACATTTAGGTCTTTTAAATTTTTGAGTTAAGAAATATATGAGAGCAACTGTTTCTTTATATCTATACGGGTATTTTAGAGAAGAAGTCAGATATATGAGGCTAGTTTAGAAGAAGCAAGAAGCATGCTGGAGGAGATGGCTCCGTGGGTTTCTTAGATCAAGCTTGAAG